ATGTCGTCGACAAAGTCGGTGATCAGCCTCTCGTTGCGCTGTGCCCAGTGCCTCTTCAAGAAATACCCTCCCACTGCGGCCACTCCGCCCACGCCAATAGCCACGGAGGAAAGAGGGACCCGCTGCTTCTCAATCACGTCCCACTGAGGCGAAGGGCCGGGGGGAGAAAAGGAGGGCGGGAAGGAGGGAGGAAGGGAGGAAGGAAGGGAGGGAGGGAGGGAGCTTGAGACCTTTCCTACATACTCCAGGGCACCAAGGATATACGGTTCCTGGGTCGACGTTCTTGAGCAGCACGTACCGAGTTATCTCGCTGCAATGTGGACCGCTGCGTCGCCCGCCTCTCCCCTGGTCGTGCCCCCGCGGCGTCCTGCTTGATGGGCTTGGAGGACGCTCGGGTGCTGGAGGCTTTAACCTTCTTACGCACCAGTTTCCGTTTCCGCCCACTCCCTTTCTCCGTGGCCGTGCGGGTTCTGGGCGTGCCCAACAATCTGTTGAAGAGGCTGGGCTTGGGAGGAGGTTCGGAAGAGGGCGTGGCTTTGTTGTTGAAGAGCCCGTACAGGCGGCTCTCTCTTCTTGACGGCCCCGAGGCTGCTGGAGACAGGTGGAGAGGGTGTGGAGAAGGGCAAAAATGTGGTATGGGGGAAAGGATTGTAACATGCGCGCAGGGAGTAATCGCTGAAGGAAGGAAGGAGGAAAGAATCGTTTGAGAACCCGACCCTTTGCTGTATCTTGAGGAGGAGGGAAAGGCCCGAGGGAGGTCGCCAATGGGGTGCTTTCGAACAACATGTTCTTTCTTTCCCTTGTTGTGCGTTTTCCCTCCATGCACCTTCCTGCGTGCTTCCGCTTGTTACGGTGACCAGTACACAAGGTAGAAAGGACGCCTACACTCCTGCGATGGGGGTTGGGCCCTTCCCTCCCCATCATGCTCTCTTCAAGGACCGTTTCACACAGAGGAAGGCTTGTCCGTCTGAGGCAGCAGTTCTCTAGAAGCCTGTAGAGGATACCTTCCAAATCCATCACTTTCTTTCCTACCTTCCCTTTTCGTATCCCTGCTCCTCCCTGAGAAAATTCCGCGGGGATTACGGGGGAGGGGAGGAAAAGGGGGGAAGAGGGAGGAAGAGGGAGGAAGAGGGAGGAAGAGGAAGAGAGCTAGGGTTGAGAAATAGGAGGAAGGGAGGAAGCGAAGGAGGGGAGGGGGGGGTGGAAGAGGGAGAAAGGGGGGAACTATAAGGAGGGAAGGAGGCGAACAACTACCGGGGAAGAAAACTTTAACAACGTCAAGAGCAATGCGAAAACCTGCCAGCGAGTCCTCGTGTAGTTAGTCAAGGTCATGGCATACTCAAAGGCTTCTAGAAACCTACTCCCCTCCTCCTTCCTCGTCCTCCCCGCCTCCTTCCCTCCCCATCATTTCTTTCACCACTCCTCTTCCCTCCCCATCCTTCCTTTCTTCCCTATCACTGCCTGCTTTCCCTCTCCTGCTATCCTTCACTCTTCTTCTCTCCATCAGTGGGGTCTTATCAGTCATCAGTCTTCTTCTTTCAAAGAAAAACGCACCCGCC